TTACGAAGCAATGTTCGGATAGGAAAGAAAACAAAACGCAGAAAGTTTTTGTAAAAAATCAGGCTAACAAAATTTTTAAAGAAGGTAAACAGTATCCAAGAAGCAGGTACACATGAAAGTTACATTGTAGTTAGTATACAGTATTCCTAAAAATAATAAAGCTCTCAGTGATGGGGAGTTCATTAAAAAATGCGTGTTCCAAGTTTGTGATGTTTTATGTCTAGACAAGAAAAATAATTTTGAGACTAGTTTGTGATGTTTTATGTCTAGACAAGAAAAATAATTTTGAGACTAAGTTTATCTCGAGAAACGGTGACTTCTAGAATCGAATACAGTCAAAAGTCGTAAATTCGGGCACCCATAATCTGGAATGATCTATAATCCGAGCCTCAAAGCTACAAATTTTCTGCGCATGTGCCCCGTTGATGCATGCGCGTAAGACATTTACGGCTGCGAATATGCGTGTGCGTATGCCCAAAACATGTTTACACATGTGCGTTTAATGTATAACGAATGGTATAAGCTAAGCTAAAATTATCTAATTCAGTTAATGTTGCAGATTGCGTTATTCCTCGATCTTCAAATTGGATCCGGCCTATTATTTTTTGCAGACTGTTCGAGCAATTTTATAAAAGTAAGCTTGAACTTTCGATTATGTCAAACAGAATTTCCGATATATATTTACTAATATATAAAGGATCTACAAAGCGAAAGTATGTTTCGAAGTCCATTAAACAAAAAGTGGAATTGCTGCAAAAAATGGATAAAGGCATATCATTTGTTTATCTAACCATTCCGAAATCTGTTTACCAATTTCATGTTGCTCTGCGGCGGGGGGACGCCACGGCGCGGAGTGAATTAGAAGTTGATCTGTCAGCACTATCCTTATCTTCAGGGCAGATGTTTTTATTTTATTTGGCTTATGATTCCTTACTAAATGTAGTATTTCATCTCGATGTACTCCGTCTTTGATACGATTTAAATAAAATTCCTCGTCATTATAATTCGCTTCCGATAGCGAAGAAAGTAAAGTAAACAAAATAAATATTAAGTTTTTTTATGTAAATTTTGATACCCTTTAGATCATAATTGTTCTTTATTTCATAAATTACGGTTTCATATTTTTAATGTTATAAATTTCTGCATGCCATCTTACCAGATTTAAACTGATGATCTATAATCCGGAAAAATCGATAATCCGGAATCGACGAAGTCCCGACGAGTCCGGATTAACGACTTTTGACTGTACATCGATAACAATTTAACATCACAGTTAGTGTCAAAGATTGGCCAGTTTAAATTTTGCTCCATAACTATGCATGAAAGCACTGATGTAAATAATACTGCTCAGTTAGTATTATTTATAAGAGCTGTTGATGAGAACTTTGAAATTACCGAAAAACTGGAGTGCATGTGTTCTTTAAAAGGAACTACAACGGGATGTGCTATTTTTTGTGAATTTCAGGAGGGGCTTTTAACTTTGAAAGTGCCTATAACAAATATATGTGATATTACGACTGATGGAGCACAAAACATGACAGGAAAATAATCTGGATTTCTTGGACCTTTTTAATCAAAACCATTCTGCAAACAATGTTGTTTTTCTACATTGTGTTCCCGCGAACAATGTTGTTTTCCTACATTGTGTTATACATCAAGAATGCTCTGTGCAAATCTACATTGAATATGAAACCCATGCTTGATGCAGTTGTGAAGCTTGTAAATACTATTCGATCTCGTGGGCTTACTCACGGACAATTTCAAGATTTTCTTCAGTTCATGCAATCTGAATACTCTGATGTACTGTATTACACAAAAGTAAGGTGGCTTATTGCAGGATGTGTTTTCGAGCGAGTTTAGCAACTGAAAGATGGCATTGTGTAGTTCTTCCATGAAAAACAATGTTCTGTGAAGTATGAAATGTTAGAAGATACAGAATGACTTTCGGACTTTGCATTTTTCACAGAATGAGAAACTTGAATGTCAAGATACAAGGGAAAAATCAATTTATCGACGATATCTGGAATCAAAGCTTTTATACTAAAACTTTATCTGTTTGCCGAGCAGCTAACTAAGAATGACTTGTCTCATTTCATGGTTAAACTCAATACTCTCAGTAAATAAGCTTAAGAATTATGAAGATGGCTTGAAAAAACTGCATTTTGAGTTCGAACGCACATTTGAAGATTTCAGTCAGAACTGAGTATTTTTACCATGCCTTTCAACGTAAATTCTGAAGTAGTGAGGTCATATTTGCAGCTTGAATTAATTGAGCTGCAATCTAACAATAATCTCAAGCAGTTGTTTATAAATATTCCAAAGTTAGAGTTTTACAAATCATTATCGAAAGTTTCCAAAATTTAATATCTCCCGCCCAGAAAATCAGTGCTATGTTTGTTACATCTTATACATGTGCACAAGAGTTTTTAACTATTAACTTAGAAAGAATTACTTCAGAAGTAGATTGACTGTTGATCATTTAGCCTCGTTCCTTAAAATCAGTACATCTCAGTTCGAACCTCAATATAAGGAACTTTCTAAAAATGAAATCACATTTTCATTCATCTCATTAACATATTTCAATTGTAATACTTGTATATATATATATATATATATATTTTATTTATTTATTTTAGAAAAATTTGGCCTGCCAAACTTTTTCTTCCCCTGATATTTGGCTCGAGACCGAAAAAGTTTGCCCATCCCTGCTATAAACAATGCAAGAAAGGGGGGAAATGTTTATCTCATTTTTTTACGAATGTCTATCTATGTTTAATTGACATGGCAGAAAAAATGCAGAGCAATTTCTTTAGCTAACGAAGGATATTTGACATGCACAATAGCTTAAAAAATTGGTTGCAGTCAAAGGCTAGTCAGGCAGAAAGATGGTGACCACAAAACCTGACAATCAAACAATCAATGTCAAAAACGGGTGTTTCTTCATAATACTCATGCAAGCACTGCTGATTTAAAAGTCGAATTTGCCTGTGATGTTAATTTAAGCTTATGAACTGTCCAAAGACACCTTGTGGAATGTGGTCTGCATGCATATCGCCCCAAGGAAAACCTCTACTTAACCCCCCCCCAAAAAAAGAGGTATGTTTCATGGAAAAGGCTCAGTCAGAATCAGTAATTTTTTTGGACGATTCTTAATTCTTCATCTCATGTTAATCAGATGATAAGCGGCATCCAGAGGTATAAAAGTGAAGCTTATCATCTGGATTGCATATTGCCTACTGTGAAATTTCCAGCAAGCCAAACGGTCTAGGAATGCAACAAAGGGGTTGCATGCCTGAAACTTAGAACTGGAACTGTGTATGCATCAATTCCTACTCAGATCTTAGAAAAGTGTTTAAAGTCATTATTCAGGATCTCTTTAAAGGTGCTGGAAACTGCATTTTTCAATAGGACTCTGCACCCTGTCATAGAGCGAAATCATTAAGAGCAATCTAACTTAATTCATGCAAGATTTTGTTGTTTCATTTATAGGTTTTGCATTTCCACAACATAACAGGTATTACAAAAATAATTTTTCCCTTTTAGTTGCAGGCATATCTGCCAAAATCTGGTATTAAAAGTTGTGGACTAGAAATAGTCCTGATCCACTGAAATTGCTTCCACTGAAAATTGTTGGCATATAATAAGTGCAAAAATTGCTGCTAAAAAGCCTGCTAGTATGATGCAGGAAAGCATTATTAGGTTTAATGTGCGATGGCTGCACATCGATTGCTGTCTCTTAGCTTTTGGTGTTTTAGTGGAGGCTTCCTCGTGACATAACTAGGGTGGGGCAAGGGGGGACATCTATCTCCGAGAGCAGCATCCAGGCGGTGCCAAATTGATGCTAAGAAATTTTTTAATGAAATGTTTTCCATTCTTGGCACACAGAAAAGGGTGCAAATTCTTCAGTTGTCCCCGGGTGTTAGAATCCTAGCAACATTACTGTGGCAGCATCTATGGGTTTGAACAGAAGTCCTATGTGAGGTCCTTGGAAGACTGTCAAAGATAGAATTTTGAGTCTGTGGTATGAAAGTGAAGTACTCCTAATGAAAGAGCTCTCTGGCGGAAAATTCAAGTAATCCAGCTCTTTCGAATTTTGAGAGCACTGGTTGACTCCGCAGACCACCATGCACCTTCCCTAGCATCTGTTATTAAAATGAAAAGGTAAAACCTTTTGCCATTGGGATTTGTTTGAGCTCAGTATGTTGATTGTTGTGTTAGTGGGTTGTTCAGCTTCATTTGTTGGGCATGTCTAGCTGGCCTTGTTGTATACTCTTAGAGGATAGTGCCGTAGGCAGTGTGAGTGAGGTAGATCATCAGTTTTCCTCAGGTGGGCAGTTAGAGGAGACGTGTTCCTGTCACATCTGAAAGAGCACCACTTTGGTGGCTGCTGAATGGTTATTGATTTATGGCTTGCTATCTCTGGGCTTTCAGTTTTTTAGCAGAAGCTTACGAATTTTTTAGCAGAAGCTTACTCATCTACGAGTTAAATCGGAAGTTCTATGTGAAGTCCTTGGAAAACTATCAAGGATAGAATTTCAGTCTGCATCAGACATGATAGCAAACTACTTTACCTCATCACGAAAGAGCTTTATGATAGGGAATTCAAGTAATTCAACTCTTTCAAATTTTGAGAGCATTGACTGACTGTGGGCTGTCCACAGTTTCCAGAAACTGTTCACATTTACATTCAGAAATTGATATATTCTGCTTCAAGGCTGTTTATTTAGCTCGCGGAGGATCTACTAAATACTGAAAAGATCCTTATGTTAGTGTACATGTAATATGACTGCAGTTATGTAGACAAAATTTGTGTACCAATTGCTTTGTTCCACATTTTGTTAAACGTTCCATTTTTCACTTTTCTTTAAACTTTCCTGAGTAATTAATTATAAATAATTTATTAATCCTAATAAAAAAACACCAACACTTAAGTGGAAAATTTTGTTTTACAAAGATATTTTGTTAGTACAGAAAAAATAAGGGAATGTATGACTACTAACCTTGGATCCATTCCTACATTTTCCATCCTTACTATCTTCAGCATGGATGGGTGGGTTTGGTCGCTTAGATTTTGCACCAAAACAGCACAATAAGGTATTAAGGAAGCCTTTATGTCGGGGTTTTTTTATTGATGATAAAGCTGAAAGAAAGAAAAAAACACAGTGAATTACAGAAAATTTTTCAGTTCTTCATTAATGGTCAATACAGTCAAAAGTCATTAATCCGGACTCGTCGGGACTTCGGCGATTATAGATCATCAGTTTAAATCTCGTAAGATGGCATGCAGAAATTCTAAAATTAAAAATATGAAACTGTAATTTATGAAATAAAGAACAATTATGATCTAAACAGTATCAAAATTTACAAAAAAAAAAAAAAAAAAAAAAAAAAAAAAAAGCTTAATATTTATTTGTTTTACTTTATTAAACATTTCTTTCAATGTAAGTTGTTTAAGTTGCTTCGTTTTTATGTGATAATACATACTTTTTCTTTTTAATTCTATAAACAGACATAATTTCTTGTTCAGTTACAAAGTTCCGCTGTTCAAGTCCTGTAATTGCTGTGCCGAGAATACCGACTAACTTGTCAATCGAAATTTTTTCATTTTCACTAACCTCTCTGTCACCTTCTTCATGTCTTTATCCATTTTTTGCAACAATTCCACTTTTTGTTTGATGGACATCGAAACATACTTTCGTTTTGTAGATCCTTTGGGAGCTCCAGCATCAGAAATTCTATTTGACATAATCGAAAGTTCAAGTTTACTTTTATAAAATTGCTCTTACAGTCTTCAAAAAATAATAAGGCGGATCCAATTCGAAGATTAACGAACAACGCAATCACCAACATCAACTGAAATAGATAATTAGATAATTTTACCTTATACCGTCCGTTATACATTAAACGCGCATGCGAAAATTTATTCTGTGCCTGCGCACACGCATATGCGCAGTCGTAAAGGTCTTACGCGCATGAACGTCTATGCGCATGTGTCAACGCGGCGCATGCGCAGAAAGTTTTTAGCTTTGAGGTCCGGATTATAGATCATTCCGGATCATGGGTGTCCGAATTAACGACTTTTGACTGTATATGCAAACAGACATAATAACTGCAGAATGAAGGATCCATTAGAAATACATATTACAAAACAAACTTATTACACATAACACAGGGATTATAGGATTTATTATACATAAGCAACTGAAACACATTCAGAGCTCAGAGATTTATTCTTAAAGTCCTTTATATATATATATATATATTTTGTATATTAGACAAGAATGATCTACTGTTTTCAAGACAGATACATTATAATACATATTTATTGTGCACAATAAAAAACTGCAATTTTAAATGGGGTTATACAAGGGCTATTTGATGCTTCTCAAACATGTAAATAAATAAGTAAGCAACATAAATGTTGATATTACCAATGGAGAACTAAGAGTAAAATCATATGACATTGTACACACAGGAGACAAAAGACACTACATATTATAATAAATAAAAGCTTTAAACAGATGAATAACACATTATTACACATAAGAGCCAGCTTACATTCAAAGTCAATAGTGAGAATGTATTACGGCATCCAATATGCATAAAAATGATTTTTTCCCATTTTATTTAAAAAAAAATGATTACTAGCATTAACACTTAATCAAATCATTGAAAAATTTTAAATGCAAGCATAAGCAAATTCAGAAATGTTTTGCTGATGAATGAACTTTCTTTTGGAATCATTTTTTGACATCTGTGGTAATGTTTCTACATCTGGATTAAAATAAACCAAAATTATATTTGTTTTTCATATTTTTAAAACGTTCTCTGTGATCAGCAAACCTATTTTCTACTACACAAAATGCCAAACTTTAAAAAGATAAACATTTTAATAGGGGGAAAAATACTTATGACGATAATTAATTCTCAAATACTGAACATCACTGAAAGCGCTCAATTCCTTTTTTATTTTATTTTTTAAAATTATAACGCATTAATCAAATTCTGTTCCAAATTAATTCTAGCTCTTCTAAAAATAAAAATTTGCACTTTTAAGATGAATATTAATTTCTTTTAAATTACTTAAAACAAGAATGAAAAGATATCGGAATGGCAAGATTTTTTTTCCTTATTAAAATTTTAATACATATTTTATTAAATTTCTGTCTCGTAAAACAAGTCAGACAGCGTTAGAAATTTTCTGGGGCAAATAAAAATCCCCGCCAAGTAAGATTTGGCACAATGCCAATTACTTCTGCCCTTTCGCTACAAAGCGGCAAAACTTATCGCACTAAAGGGCGTGCTTCATAACACTTAAAACCTGAAGACTTAAAACACTTAAGAAAGCAAAAGGAATTTATCCAAATAAAAGGCACAGTTTCGCTCGTGAAATATTATGTGGCCGGCATTTGTACAGAATAATAAAAAGCTCCAAGTTTTAATTTTATAGAACTCGAAGACGTACTTACCGTTTCTAGAAGTCATACTAGTATTTTTTATCAAAGTTAATGAATTTTCTTCCTAAAATTATAGAACTTGCAACAAAAATAAATACACATAACAAGAAACCCTCAAAACTCCCACAGAAATACTGCAGTTTATATATATATATACATATATTTTAAAACATTACATTTAAAGAACTACTGATGATTATCATACACAATGTCTCTGCCAAACAGGAAAATCCATTGATTGCTGCATTAGTAATCGAGGGTTAACCTGACGAAAAGTATTTCAGTATTTTGCTTAAGACTGAAAATTGTAAAGTACGAGTCAGACTGATAAAGGAAAAGCAGCAACATAAAATTAGGCAGAAAAGCGATTCCCCCCCCCCTACTTTTCAATTAGGTGCTTTGAAAATTCTGTTGCTAAAATGTTTATCAACCGCGTAGTATTTTAAACGAAATATTACAAATTTAAAAAACTTTTAAGAAAAGAACCGACTAAGATTCATTCAAAAGGAAGAAGGGGAGTAAGATCAGAATTTTAGTATTATTAAAATAGTTACTAACAATGCGCATGCATTTGATGACGCTGGCAGCATACACGCAATCTGTTGAAGACATATCTCACAAAGCGAGCCAATTTGTATAGATAGGACACATTTATGATCTACTACAGCGTGCAATACAGAAGTTATTAAAAACATCGCTTGTCCTAATTGATTTGCACAGTATAATCTATAAAATTTACAGCAGTTTGGTCAAATAGACATGCAAGAATGAAAGAATGTATTCAACATTCATATTATTTCATTAGACGGAAATTACTAGTATAGAATCTGTACTTCAGTGTCTCCGTGTCTTTGCTGATGTTTCCAAACAGTAATGATTTTTGGAAATAACCGAAATTCTGATCAATAACAGCGGACATCCATTCATATAAAAAAATTTATGCGCGATTCCATTTACGAGTCTACATGACCGGGTTATGGACGATTTCTCTTGTTCCTTATCACAATGTAAAGAATGCCGCTCAACTGAGACAGTGGTTAGTGAAGCGACTGCCGAATCGAAGGGACTTGTTCGAATCCTGGAGAAGGCATGGATGTTTGTAAATGTGTAGTGTCTGTGCGGCACGGGGACACTCTAAATATGCGGCGAACCGAAAGTCCTCTTGAGAGGTGGTAGGGAAACCCTCGGACCCGTCGCCCCAGGGTTGTACTCATTCAAAATTGGGGGCGGAACTGATCAAATTCGTATTGTCAACCTATATGGTGCTCAATGCTCTTGCCAACGACAGGCGCTATCTTGACCCCTTGCCACGATGAATGGCGTGGGCTTGTTCTGATAACACAGACCTGATCCGATGTTACTGTCCATCGGATAAGATAAGCCACACACAAAAAAACAATATCAGAATACAGGCTAGATTTTAGCTGCAGATGGGGCATACTCCTCAAATCTCAGGGATCTTGGAAAACTAGAATCTTCACGCATCTATCTTCAGAGTGGTACCTCCTCAAAAATCTTTATGCAATTTTAATTTAAGAAGCTAAGTACCTTTAAAATGGCAAACATATAACACAGTTTAAAGATCACTACCTTTAAAACCACCAGGTTAATGACCGTGAAATATTAAACACTTATTTCAGTACCCCTGACATTGTATTTGCTCTTTATGTTCCAGATGCTGAAGTAATTTAAGTACAATAAAAACAACACAACTTCTTCGCCATGGGCATAAAACTGCGTGCAGTAAATAAATCATTATGTTTAGCTGATTATTATTATTATTATTTTTTCATAAATGAAATAAAAATGGGCAATTAAAGTGCTTTACTTTAAAAATGATTTAATTATATTGCCTTAAAATTAAACTAATTATAGTAAAATGACTGGCAGATTTTTAAAAATCGCCTCCAAATATAAAGGTAAAAAACGCAAAATAACAACAGGTTATGGAATAATTTTTACACGGAAAGCACTTCCTTCATTTTGAGGTAGGTAAGAACCAGTTTCCGGCAAAGACGTTCGCAATGAAAAGTGCCAGCCACTCGACTTCACTTTCTAGACTAGCTCTGCTTGCGGGCAAATACTCTTTATCAGAGCATCACACACACACACACACACACACGAATGGTAAAGGACATATCAACTAGCTGACAGATAGCCCTTAAAAGCGGGTATTTCATAACATAAACACTGCCAGAAAACCCAGAATTTATTAAGCTAAGAATACGCCATCGCTCTACAAGCTACTAGATTTCAACAAATTTCCAGCCTTAAGCAGGAATTATTGCATTTACTAGCTCGCGTATTTCCCCATTTGTATTTATTCCCCGCGCTATAGCTTAATAGTTTTCAATAGTTTATTCACATATGTTTTTCATACGCCAGGAAACAACAGTAATTAAAATGTGTATATGAATTGTCAATGTGCAATCAATTCTCGACTGACAGGGGTAATTAATATCGGAAACAACGTTAACGATTAATCCGAAAGGCGGAAGGCAGATACACTCAAAAACAAACAGAATTTATTTCCTTTTTTAAAGAGAGAGAGGAATAATTCATGCTATAATTTACACAAGCCTGCCATGACTGTGTTTTGTAACGTCTGATAAATAATTCTTGTGCATTTTTAGCACTAATTCCGAAAATGACCTTTATTCTTTACTATCACGCAAAGATTTTTCGCAAATTTCAAAACTGTAAAAAAAAAAAAATTGAAAAAAATGCAAAAATATGAGACTTTAAAATAGATATACAACCTTTTTTTCCCTTATAATTTATTTATTTTTTGCTTATACTAAGCTTTCTTATAGCAAAATAGTTGATGGGAGGCGGTGGATTCATTGAGCCCCTTCAATTTTCTAATAAAAACTGCTATAAATGAGCCTAATTTTCTATTTTATTGCATTTTTCATTTATTTCCATTATTAGTACCATTTTAAAAATTGTTAAGGGATATACTGCCCCCTTGAAACTCTCGCAGTTTGTAAAAGCCTTACCAAACGAACATCAATGTTTTAAATACATACATATAACGGGCCGGATTAAATGAGATACGAGTACATTCCGATGAGCTCAGAGATCACGTGGCATGGACCTTATAAGAGATAGACTAACCCAGTAGGCAGGGCGTGCGTCACCGACATGTCGTCAAGAAAGAGTAGGGACGATCTGGTTTACTTTAACCATTGAAACCTATGGCGTTTGTATCACATAACTCTTTTTAATTATTAAATGTGATACGTTGTATAGTGATGAGATTATAAAAAGCACAGTTTTTCAAATAGGATTTATATATCTCATTAAGCACTTTTTACTGCATTTCGTCCATTTTTTTTTTTTAACGCGTAATTCTTGTACAAAACATCTTGTACAAAAACGGTAAAACTCTAAGCAAAAATTATGAACTTATTTTGCTTAAAAATAAAGTAAAATTAAATAAGATTGATCGTACGCGATGCTTTGAAATAAATAAGCTAAAATTAAACACGATCTGATAATTTTTTTTTTAATTTAATGAACATTTTCAGGCAGTGATTTTCCAAACTATAATAACATTACAAAACGATCATATTTATTTGATTATATGATCATTAAATTATTAACATTAAAGTGGATTAGTATTTAATAATTCATAAATTTTCTGACGTACTGAAGGAAAAAAAAGAAAAATCTACAAGCACTCGTTCTTATATTACGCCCAAAAAGAACCTTTTTTTAAAGTTTATTTATTGAATATCATGTTCTTCGCCCGTAAACCATATACATTTTGAAAATAGCATATCTTTAGAATTCCGCACTGGAGATAAACTGTTATTTTCCGTACAGTGCTCGCTCTGAACTCGTTGAGTTTGTAATCAAAAATTCGTTAAAGTTTTACAAAATATGAAATCGATTAAAACAAATTCGAATTCGGCCGTCCAGATGCCATGTTCGGGTGGAGAATTACATTATTCAAAATTTGATGGCTCTAGATATTGTCGTTTTTGTCACAGTGCGAGAAACATACATGTATTCATGCAGATTCTTCATTACTTAATTTCTTTACATATAATACAGGACGATATATTTGGTACAAATTTGCAAGGAGACACGGACATTTATGTAAACAGCGCAAAATGCCGCTTCGAACTAATAGCCTTTCTAGGCTACCCCTACCGCCGCTTTGGGCTAATAAATTAATTAACAGTAAATAAAAAAAATCTTATGCAGACTAAAAATACATTAAAAAAGTAATCACTATAAAATACAGCAAAATTATTATTACGGTTAAATCAATTTTAATATTAGAATAAATGTATAAAATTTTAAGAGTCAAAAGTTTTATCACTATGATGGATTATGAAATATATTGAAATAAAATTCCTTTATTATAAATTATGCTATAATACTCATCTAATTTTAAAAAAGCAGCACAATTTAGAATTTTAAAACAAACTTCGTTTTTAAATATTTTAGTATTTTTTACTTATTTACACCAATAAAAGTATAAAATTGCAAGAGAAACTTGCTTGTTTGAATTTCTATTAGTTCAGATTTAAAATACTATTTCTAAAAAGAAGTAGTTTACAAATTCTTACAGCATAGGAAAAGCTAAAAATATCCAGCCCTGAAAGCATGCATTAGCTTTATAATTATTTGAAACGTTAATAATGCTTGATAAATATGCTAAATTTTAAAAATCAATCTCAATTTCAAAAATAAAAATATGTAGAAATTCTAATTTGTGAAATGAGGCGCTACATCCAGCTTTTTCTTGGCAATTATACATGCTGCAATAGGCAACTAATGTTAAATTTCTGCAAGTCGTCCCTACTCCTCCGGATGTGATCAAGGTGACAGCCGGCAAAGCCTTAGACGAGGGAGAAAACCCGTTTAGGTTAGTCTATTTCTTATAAGTCCATGTCACGTGACTTATGAACACCTAACAAGCAAACAATGTAGATGAGCTCAGACCACGTGACTTATGAAAACCTAAAGTTCACAAACAATGTAGACGAGCTCAGATCACGTGCCTTATGTCTAGCT